TTTTAGACAATAGACAAAAATATACTCATGTTAGAACCACAGAAAAGTGATTATTATAAAACACGAACATTCTCTGAAATATTTTCATGGCGTCTTGGAGCTCAGTGGTCAAAGACTTCCTTAACTGAAAAGTATTTTCCTGAATGAGGAGGGAAATGATATGTACCGATCTATATTCCACAGCTTGGGGGAGAGCTCAGGGGAGGGGGTAAAGAGATTTATCATTTAGGTCACAGTCTTTCTAGGAAAATTAATTGGTGTAGAGACATAGGCATAGAGTCATGTAGTAAGATACTACCTTTTCTTTGTTTGACCCAGGTTTATCTTAGTTTTTGTTACCTTGAAAGTGGAAACCGTGTGACACAATTAACTGTTAAATGAACAATTAGTCTGTTTCCATGATGCTGGTAGTCTGTTGAGGCTAAAACACTTTCAAATCACATTTTGAGTGCTAGTTCCAATTGCATCTATTTTCTGTTTTGACCCCAGCCATATTTTACTGAAATATTTCAGTGACATATATTATTTCAAGAAGAATACTGTTGGGATTCTCGTTATCTAGGGAACACAATTTCTAGTTATAGAACCTAACTCTAATTCTGCTCTTTCAATAGGAGGATTCAATCAGTACCCACCACAAAGGCTTGAGAATGACTGTATACTCAAGCGTCTACAAGGAGAGGATTATCTTTGGTGAGTTAGACAGTGCTTACATTTACACATGACTGTTAATTGCTTAATGGGTATCTGACTGAGGGCTGGTTACTAGGTTGGGATAGCTAATAAAGCATCTGAAGTAAAGCTGTGTCTTCATTTCATTTCTGAAGTTAAATTATCTGGATTGATATTTTTATAATATCCTCATAAGCCTTATTACAATTTTGTCTTTAAATTCATGGTTTCCTCAGAAATTCTCATATTGAAATTTACCTCAGAAGAGAACCCATAAGTTAGCCTCAGCCTCACTTCCCATCTTTCCCGCCATAAGTGCTGAGATCCATCCACCCTGGGCTCCCGTCTTCCTTGTGTGAACTTTGTTTCACCCTTCTGGGCCTCTGGTCACACTACCTGGGACCCAGTTACTGTTCCAATGAAGCCCTACTCCTCTTTCATGGCCCAGATGGAAGCAATCTCCTCTC